GACTTACGTACGTACTACTACGTATACTAACTACTACTACTACTACACACACACACACACACACACACACACACACACACACACACACACACACACACACACACACACACACACACACACACACACACACACACACACACACGTCCACCCAGGAATTCCCCATTGCCCCCCTTCAACACCAGCTGTTCATTAACCAAAGTATGCAAACGAAACTGCCGTCCTGCACCTCCCCTGATTATCAGCCCCTCCTCCTCCTCCTCCTTCTTCTCCTTACTCTTCTGGTCTCTTCAGACTGCTCTCATCATCTCCGCCTACAGTAGATCTCTCCTCGCTTTATCTTCCTATTTGTCACTTCTTGTCCATTACCACCTTTATTTTCTCCTCCTGTCCTCCCAAGTCCAACCTTAAATCCATGTCTCATCAGCTTCTTCTCCATGTTCTCATTCTTCCTGGTAGCATCACCTCCTTTCCTTCTTCAGTACACCATCTTCCCTTTGCCTCCTTGTCCTATTCTCTCTGCCATGTCTACTATCTACTGTCATTTTCTCCTCTTCAATACTCATCTTAATTCTCTCTTTTTCTTTGTGCTCTACTACCATACATTTCTATTACACCTCCTTATTTATTTGTTTGTCCTTTTCCATTATTTCTCCCACTGTCCATCAATTGTTTCCTCAATAATCCTACTTCTCTTAGCTTCTCCCTCCTTTTCTTTCTTTATTTTTCCTTACCCATTTGGCATATCTACTTGTTCAAGCCAAGTAGATATATCTTTAATTGTTCCATTGTGATAAATATATTTACCATGGTTTGCTTACCCCTCGAAGTAAAGAAGGTCTTCCCTGTATACAGGGCACTTGCGTTTCTTCAATATGTGTTCCTGCATCTATTGTAGTAAAACATTTTGTTAAAAAGGAATGTTTTGGAAAGCCAGCCGATCAATAATGTATGACTTCTTATCTCACTGACAGCCATGCCACTGGTCAGAGGCGTATTCCTGATATGCCTCATGTCTTTGTGTGTGCATGGGATTATGAGAATCACCCGCTGAAGGACTCTTCCCTGCATGCTCTGGGTTTGTGTGTTAACTATTTGACAGTGTGTGTATGAAGTAAAAGCAAAATCACAGACTCTGAAGCTTTGAGGATAGGCTTCAGCTCCAACCAAGTTCCTTAAGGCCCCAACAGAATAACACACATTCTTTATCTGTCCGCCCACTCACTTTCCTGCAGCATGTGCAACCAAGTGCTTTATTTATTTGCTGGCTGATAATTAATGCAATGAAAAAAAAAATGCAAAATTGATTATTTCATTATTCTGGCGACATTAGTATATATCTATAGACATAATCTATTTTTAATGAAGCAGCGACTCCTCTGTGGCTCAGTGATCAATAAGGCTTTAAGGGAAATGCTGAGGTGTTTCAGAGTCCCCTAAGCAGCGAGGGATGTGTGATTTTGGAATAAAAAGGAAAAGGGTTGAGGTTCCAGGAAGTTGTCAGGGTGTAGTTTGACCAACTCACCTGCTGGCCAGTGACCAATAGGATGGAGCCCTCCTTGGCGTGCATCACCTGCCGAAAGACGTGGTCGAGGATGAGAAGTTCACTCCAGCAGTTCTGCAGCAGCTTCATCTGGTCGTCCACCTGGTAAGAGAAACACAAAAACACAGATTGATTGTTAATAACTATAGTCCATATGTACATGATTACAATGCAAACTGTTGATTTAGGTCTGCATCATAGATCTCTGAACACGTATTGGTCTTGACTGATAGAACTCTGAATTTTGATAATAATATTTTTTTTTACTATTTAGTTTTCTGTTTTAAAACTCAGTGACTTGTACATATCACAGGCAGTTGTTTGCTAGGTTAGCTTGCTCACACGTAAATCAGTTCCTCACCTCTGGCATAATTCTTTCGCCCTAACCAAAGTTTTCTCATGTGAACCTTTTAAAACTCAGTTTAGCACTTTGCTACACTACGTGCCTAATTAACAATGTGACTAGGTTTATCTGTTTGCCTATTGCCAGCAGTTTCTGAGTGATTCCACGGATGATAATGATTAAGTAGCCTTTTTTTTCCTCCTCTTGCATGCCAGCCGCTGGCTCCCAGGGACCTGGCAGGTGAGGCAGGTCAATTTGTGGTTCCCTACACCGAAACAACCCCCGCAATTGTAACCGTGTGTCTTTTCCCATGCCTGGCTGTGTTAATCATTACCCTGCATAGCCAGACCCAGACAAAAAAGAGCCACATTGAGAGGGAAGGAATGAGGAAAATGTATGAGAGGCTCTTTCTTTCTCTTTTTCTATCAACAAACATTGTCCTGTTCGTGGTATCATTGGGAATAATGTGTCTTTCTGGGCACACTGCGGTTTTGTGGTGATGTGAATAACTTTGTTGCTTTGAGACTGTGAGAACTGTTTGTGATGTTCATCACCAATGTCAACTAGTACTTATAGGAGGAAGAATGTGGATCGATGCTAAACTTGGCGACACAAGCAGGTGCAGCATGAGCAAGGCTGAAATAATTGTTTTCGTTGTTGTCTGAAATTGCACAGCGCTCCGTTTGCTGAAATGTAAAATGACCTTAAGGTGAAATTTGATGTTGACTACTGTAGCTCTTTCATAAACTTCAAAAACTTGACTATGACATGGCAGTTTGGCCAAGTCTGAAGTCTTTTGCTTGTTGATTAGGGTTGTTATGACTGGAGATTGGAGCTTGTGTTACACAGTGTCTGTTTACCGTTCAGTCAGACATAACAATGGCTTTCATTAACATTGGCCTGGAAAATGATAATACAATGTTGAAGGACAAATATGTTGGTGGTCTTTTGCCTAAATCACCATTTGGTAGCTGTACTACCAAGGTTTAGTGGCTCCCAAATTGTCATACTTTCATCATGCCATCACCGAAATACAACTTTCTCAAAATATGGTAGATACAAAGAAAGCAAGAGGTAGCAAAAAAAAAAAGTGTCCAATCTTTGAATGCCTTGCATCTTCTATTCCTCTTTTATCAGTGAAATTCAAATGACAAAATACAACAAAGCTTCTGTGACATTTTCTTACATTTTTGACAGAATCATGGACTCTTTTTGTGGTCCTCCTTTACATATATGTTGTTTGGGCCTTACACTGAAGGCGTCTCAAGCACAGGGTGATACAATTCAAATGAAATCATTAAAACCATCAGAGAGCAAGAAAGCAGTCAAAAGAGTGACTTCTCCATGTCCCAAACCTCCTCTCTTCATTTCTCCATATTCCCTCCAAGCACGTGTAACAGCATGTGTGTGTGTGTGTGTGTGTGTGTGTGTGTGTGTGTGTGTGTGTGTGTGTGTGTGTGTGTGTGTGTGTGTGTGTGTGTGTGTGTGTGTGTGTGTGTGTGTGTGTGTGTGTGTGTGTGTGGACGGATGGATACATGTAAGGCTCTTCAAAGGACCCCCCTTACATGTCAGTGGTGCTGGCAAGTGTCGGGGTCCTCATCAAAGGGCTGTCTTCACTCTGCCTGCCTAGAAGCTCTTCTCTGACAAGAGGCCTGGGTCATCAAAGGGGGGCAGCTCAGAGAGGATGACGGCGGGTGATAGCAGCCTAGACGAGGGCTGGGGACCCCCGCCTGGAAATGGGGGACTGGTGACAGACAGACAGGCGTGAGGGCGGGCCAGGGGTTGGGGTTCAGTGCAGTGACCTTTTAAGTGCCCGCGACACGAGCTGTTTCCCTGACAAGCTCTTCCTTTGCTCTGTCAAGTGAGCACCATTCATGGTGCCTGATCTTACAAGATCTGCTGCCTGCCCTCTCTAATAGTATGAACTTTTTGACATGGAGTCGACAAGCGCTTCGTGTTTTCATGAAGTCCTGAATACAATCTCTGTGCAGTGATAATGCAGCATATACAGTCAGTAAAACATTGGCTGGTTGCCTTTCTCCATTTGATTTATTCACATATGACAAGTCAAAGTTCAAATGAGCAGTTTGTTGAAATCAGTAGGACCCATAAAACAGCTGATTATTTAGTCGGTCCATTCTTATCTCTAAAAGATAATTTAGAGTTTCCAGTATGCCGACAGAGTAGGAAACACACTTGTTGTTTTATTATTCCTTTAGTGGTTATCGTTTTTCCACATGTACAATAGACTTGATATCACTTCTATAACTTTTTCCTATTAAAAAAAAGGCATTGTTTTATTTCCAGAGTTGCTTCGTTGTAGGAGCTCATTTAAAGAAAATGAACAAAATAGAAAAAGTATTGGATTCCACCACTAATTTCAACATTAGCGAATCGTTTCTTACTTTCCTTACTTTAAACATCGGTCCCAAGTCTCTACCTGTCCTTGGATGGAACAAAACTCATTGTAAGGTATTAGCTTCTAAGGTTTACGCTGATGCAGAAAACACACTCTCTAGAATGTGTTCAAGCTGGCCTAAAAATCCACATTTAACTTTTTTAGGTGTGATCTATTTAATATTTTAATATCATAGCCAGTGTTTGGTTAAAAAAAAAGAGAGAAATTCCAAGCAGGAACTTCTCCTTGCATCAGCCTGTAATGAAAAATACATATCCTCCAAGAAACCAATTTAACACCTTTATGATCGTTCAGGCGAGTGGGATCAATACCAGGATCAATCGCTTAGCCCATAGCTTTTGTTCAAAACCACTGGCTGAGATTAATGGGATTTTCCAGAGAGAGAGGTAGAAAAAGAAAGAGAGGGGTGAGATGTGGAATGAAAGTGCCAGACAGGGAATGAGAGAATGAGAAAAGACTTGAGGGAAATTGAGAAAATAAAACATAGTGATTAAGAGCAGATATTCCCTCCATTTCTGGGTAAAATATAAATTAATTGGAAATGGAGCATTCAGATGCTCGCTGACAAAAGTAATGTTTATTCATAGCCCCCTGCTAAGAGTAGAGCAATTATCATGGTGTGTTGAGTCAAAACAGGCCAATGTAGTAGAATTTGTTCCCCCTTTCTTGTGGCCGGGTTTTGGTCTAGTGCCACGAGCATTGTTAAGCTTCGTACGGTACGGCGGGCTTTAACGAGAGTACACAGCTGGATCTGATTTTAATAAGTAGTTCCATTTTTGATGTGGCCTAATGAACAGATTAATAGAATCTCCTTCTGTGGAGCCTTAATGAATGGAGCGAATCATTTTTTCAAGACTGGGGGGGGGGAACACACACACACACACACACACACACACACACACACACACACACACACACACACACACACACACACACACACACACACACACACACACACACACACACACACACACACACACACACACACACAGAGCATGAGTTTATCTGCCTCAAACGACTTGTACATAAACAATAGCTGGGCTTCTATCTCTCCGTCTCTCTCTGCTGGACACGAATCAATGCTGTCTCTGAGTACTACAGGTGAGGTTTGAAGCTGACATCAATGCCCGTGCGTCTCTAGCAGCCATCCTTTGGTGCGGTTCTGTCTTGGCATCTGTTCGCCTTGAGCAAAGCAGGCCCTGTATTCACCTGGGAACAGGCATTAATTCACCTAGAACAGCGCCTGTTGTTCTCAGAGCGTTGCAAGCATTTAATTATGTCGCGCCTGGATGTACTGTAGCTCATTTCCAGTTTATAGTTTGGTATTTTAATTCAAAAGGGTCTCAGTGTGGGGTTCCATTGGCCAAAAATAGGATAATCATCAACTATTTGGTCATCAATGTATCACAAATCCTAGAGAAGTGGATATCTTTTTCCTGTGAAAGCACATTTAGCCCTCCTGATGTGAGATGAAATCTTACTAAATGATTCGTATTGTCTTAACAAAGACCACATTATATGGGAGGCTCTTAAACAGGTCACCACTGACTCATAAAACAGCCAATGCATGTAGAATTTCACTGCAAATCATTTTTGACAGCCATAAGTTCTAAAAGCCGCAAATAGAGATGCATCCATCAGGAAAAACAACAAAGTGAGTGACAAAATCCCCAGGATGTTCCAGCTATGTGACCTGCTGGTTGGGGAGAGGTGAGCATGGGTGTCTATGCTCCAAACTATATCCGGCTCTTCTCTACACACTGCAGAAGCAATGAGAACAAAAATCATTATCCAATGATTAGCTTCCTCTTGTTTGTCATGGCATACAGTTCATGTGGGCCCCGATCCTACGTCTAGTGGCGTGATAAGAATGCTGGGAAAATTAGCAGGTGGCAGGTGGCACTGCTAGTTGAGGGGGAGGGGGCCTGAATAGAGGAATGATAATACTAGATAATATAGTGAGCAACTAGCTTCAGTAAAACTGATGCTGTCAACCAGCAGACAAGGTTAAAGACTGAAGCTACCGGAATTTGTTATTCAAGCTTCACACCTGTTGTTACCTTCCTTTTTTCCTGACAGAGTAGCTGACAATTAGGATCCTCTGCTACTGATACACACTGTGAATCAAAATGATCAGCAAACTATCGGAAATATATTCACTCCCTTTACAGCTGAGTAGACCGGGAAAATCAAATCAACTGAGGACAGTAAAACATTTTTAAAAAGAACAAAACTGAATTTCTTATTCTCTATCAAATAGGATTTTGTACAGTTCAGAATGTTGTTTCAATGGCACATAAAAGAAAGCCATGAAAGGTATCTCGTTATGCTTATAAATGACA